TCGCTTCTGGTCCTTTTTTCTGAGAGATCACTTTAACAAGAAAATGTATGAAGAATTCAAACAAGTTGCTCTAGATGATGCAAAAGAACACTACAGGTATTTAATTTTTCCTGGAAGTTAAGAACTGTTGATGTCTTACAGTTTGTTTTAATGACTGTGAAGTTTATGCATATCTGAAGTGAACATTTTCTGTATTGGCTTTGACTCTTTGTAAATCCATAAAATAGCTACTTGTATGATTGCTTTTAATACCAAAAATCTGTTTGTATGTATTGTGCTTTGCAGATAAATAGTTAAACTTCCTGGCTTGTGCTTGGTCTTGAATTCTACAAAATCCTGTAACTTGTTGACCATGACAAGTCAGCTCTATACTTAGTAACGTTCATAACATTCTTCCTTCCATAGGTAAAGACATTCTTAACCTCATTCCATTTGTACAAACTGCTTCTTGCCTTCCAAAAATACCAGAAAAATGACCACAAAGGAAATTATTGCTGCCCCTGTAGCTCTGTGATGTGATTCCCTCCCTTTCACAGAGTTCCCCACTTCTGTGCCTCTTAGTGCAAGACAGAAGGTAGCCCAATGTTTTGAATGCTAAGTGAGGAAGTATTGGCTATAGAAATCCTGAAATTTAGATTTGTAGTCTGAGACTGCAGTGACAGTCCCTTAGGGTGCAAAGGTGGCTTGAATACCTTGTGTCTCTGCTCTGAGCCTTCCTGACACTCTGTGATTATCCATGAATACATTAAACAGGAGAAACTTCATAAGACTCTTAAGGGGGCTAAAGTGGCAGCAGGTAAATGCAGATGAGAAGTCAGTTTTGATTATTTGTGAAGATGTTCCAAAATAATGGGTTGATGAAAAATTGTGAAAAGGAAGATGTTTTTATGAGAAGGGTAAAATGAGGCCATGCTATTGACTTAAATGTAAGGAGAGACTGAAAAGCTGCATCCTTCTGAGGAATGAGGAGTGTATGTATAAGATTTTCATACCTCTGTTCTGTTGCAGGTATGGATTGGAATGCTTGTTTAGATTTTACAGCTATGGCCTAGAAAAGAAATTCAGGCAAGAGATATTCAAGGATTTCCAAGAAGAAACAAAGAGAGACTACGAAGCTGGTAATTATCTTAGGCCAGTCACTGCTCACACTGGAGTAACTTTAGTCAGGGAATAATCCCAGTTCCTTGGCATGGATGTGTTGACTAACCCAAAAGCAGCCTCTGTACCTTTTATGTTAGAGTTCTTATAAGCATCCACTGGATAATTAGGCTTCTAATTAAATCTGACCTTTGTAAATTGGTAAAGGTATCTTTTTCCATTACTAGGTCAGCTATATGGACTGGAAAAATTTTGGGCTTATCTAAAATACTCTCAGCACAAGACTCCAGCCATTGACCCCAAACTGCAAGAATACCTTAGTAAATTTAAGAGACTGGAGGACTTCAGAGTGGATGTAAGTCTCAATACCTATTTTAAATAAATATTTGGTGTACAAATATTTTTTACTGCAAGGTAAACTGAGAACAGGACTTCATTTCACAGTCATCTTCACGAATCCTGTCAATGACTAGAAAATGCAGGATTAAAAAAATTCAAGTGAAAAACACAGTTTTATTCCAGACGTTGTTATTTGAACCAAAGTATGGTCCTGAGATGTGGCTAAATTGTAAAAAGCATTGATCTATTTTAATTGTGTAATGAAAGAAATAGCAAAAATTAGCTTATTTGTCATCTGGCAAGATGGCTTTGGATACTGTTTAAGAATTTGGCAAACGAATTAGTGCCCAACTGGCATTTCTTAGTGAACTGTGACAGACACTGTCCTTGCTGAGACTTTATCTGCCAAATTCAGTGTATCCATGCTGTAGGATGCCAAATTCTTACACTGTGAGATGGCAGAGTGTAGTGATGCTGTGCTTTTCATAACTGGGCTGTGGTGCACTACATTACCACCACTCTCTGTAATCCTATTTTCTAGCAGTTGTGGCAAATATTTGGGCAGTGATGATTAAATTAATGCTGTAAGACTCTTTGAAGTCCTTAATGTGTCCTGTACAATGGCCAGAGACACTTTAGTATATCATCAGCAAGCTGTGAATAACTAAGATCACCAGACCTAACTAAATGTCTAAGTACGGAATCTTGTGTTTTTTTGATCCTTTATGAAAAGGCGAATACCTGGCCTGAGAGAAAAGCATTTCACAGGTTGTCAATGTTTATTTTCAGCCTCCCATTAGTGAAGAGTCTGGCAGGAAGAGACCAGTTGCTGCAACAGGTGAGGATTCAGCTCATCACAAACATCAGTCCAATTCTTCTAAAACACTTCTTGTCACTAAACCCTCAGCTGCCTGTCAGTCCCAGGCATTGGGAAATGCTACCAGTGGGAATACTGTGCAAGCATCCATAGGCCATAACAATGCTGCCAGGAAATCTATAGAAAGTGATGTACCAGAAAAATAGACTTCAGACAAGCTTGTGCTCTTGAGAATCAACTTGTTCATCACTTTTAATCTGGAGGTCTTCAAGGCGAGCCAATCTAACACATGATTAAAAATGTATGGGAAGACAAAGGATTGGATTCTCTTTTTTTCACAGAACACTTACCCTAGGAGAGTTGCTCTTGGTTTTGGGATCATCAAAAGGATCCTAGGGAAGATTCTTTGGCTTCAGTATTGCTTTCCTCAAGCTTTTGTTTACAAAGAACTGCATTCCTTGCATAGGCAAAAAATGCTTTGGGGGATGCCTTACATTTCAGCTTGTATTTCTTAAAAAAGGTATGATATACCCATGTTATTTACTGTGCTTTCTTTACAGAGATTTTTCCCCTCTATTTGTATTTTACCAAAGCAAAAAAGATGTTATATGCAGAATTTTAAATGTAAAGGAAGGATCTATGTGATAGGCTTGCTCTTGAATCTATTAAAAAGTATCTTTGTGTAAAAGGACACTCAAGAATGTGCAGCTATATATGAAACTGCATTTCTGGATTCTATTTAAAGGCGTAGTTTCTATTTTTTCAGGGTCTCCGTAGATAGTATTTTATTAAGTATGGTGTTTGAGTGGACATAACTGGGATAGTTTTGCAGAAATTTCCTTCAGTGGTGGTTCTTAGTAACTCAAGCAACAGAAAAAAACAGGGAAAAATGGATCGGTTGATTTCTCAGTGTCTTAAATTAACACACAGTATCTACAGTTCATGTAGGTTGTTAAAAATAGCAAACTATTCAAATTATTCTCAGCTTGAGAGGTGTCTTCATTTGAAATCACTTATGAAGTACTCTAACAGGAGAGGCATATTTTTTTTTTCTCCATATTTCAAGTAATAAAAATGAGTTTGGAGGGAAACTAAGTATTCCTTGTAAATTTTTCTTTCGCATTCTTTTGCAATACCTGAATGAAGTTGTACTTAATTGTGCTATCTCAGCCTGAATAATTTCAAACAGGTCTAAATATGATTTCACTGAATGTAAGTTAATTAAAATACAAATCCATTTCTGCAACTGAAAGATGGGGATTTTTATATCCTGTGATTTCTTCAGGTTTTTGTTAGTTAACTGCTGAAAAGACTTCAGTTAACTTTTAAAGCTAAAAAGTTATATCTAGAACAAATGCCTTAATCCATGAAGGTGTCCGAATGGACTGTGCAGCCATGTAACAGGGTTTTAAACTTTTATCAGATCTCAGAGGTTATAAAAAATCCATTAATTTTTCAGTTGCTGTCTTGTGAATCTCACTGAAACAAATAATGAATGTTTGCGTTGTAAAAGGAGTGTGTGTTAGCAGTGGCCTTCCCAACAGATAATGCAATTTCAGTACAAAATGGAACCTTTTGTAAGTGACCTGTTCTAAATGAATTTAAATCAACACATACTAATATTTTAAGTCATGTCCTATAAATATGCTGAAGTGACACATCTCAATCCTGTGTTTGATCCATGCCTTTTACTATCCAAGAAAATGATGAGAATGTAAATTTGGATTGAAATTGTATATACATTAGACTTAAGATATTTCCTTTCACTTTTTCATTGGAAAATGTGCAAATTAAGCTTTCAGTGTGTGTAATTTTGTGATATCTTGACAAATTTTATAAAAACAAAACAAACCCCTAATAATGTTGTATCTCAACTTTTTTTTCCCCCCAAAGTGTGAAGAAAAATAACTTGAAAGAGCATAAGGCTGTAGATTTGCATGTGAATTTCTGTTGCCTCTGGTGCACTAAGGTATGAGGGACACCCAGGCCATTACAGGCTGAACTGCTTCTTAGAATGTGAGCCAGCTTTCTTCAATACTGATTTTTTTTCATGACTGGGTATTTGTCAAAGAAAAAACGTGACAGGTGAATGATAAATAGAGCTGAAAGCACAGAGAGTAAGTACTTTACCTGTGGTCTGTCCTGTTAGCTTCTACAGGGCTAGTTGCTTAGATAGTGTCCCTGTATTTGGGTGGACAAAAACCCACCCAGGTCTGCCCACAGCTCTGGCTACCTTTCAGAACACCCCCTTTCACTTGAATCTCCCTCCCTCTCCTGGCAGACAAGTGGAAAAATTGATTGCTGGTGTTGGCACACTGAGCTGAGAACAAAACCAATGAATTTTAGAGCAAGCCCTAAATACTTTGCTGCTTAAGCAGCTTGTTTCTCTATATGGCTTATAGTGGTTACCTTTCAAAGCCTGTAGTACCTGTTGCAGAGCCATACATTTGTCTATGAACATCCTTTTTGATGCCATTTAGGTCCATTTAAGTGAGCCTTCAATTTGTCGTTCTTAAGGCTGGCTGTATTCTAGCAATAATCTGTTACAAAATACTTAGGAAGTCTTAAGACCTTTCCTTGTATAAAATTTCCCTTATGTGCTTGTTAAGAATTTTGTCTTCATTTCTCCTGTTGGGGAATGACTGTACAAATATTTCAAAACACTACTCTGTCTAAACTTGCTACAATTTTTCTTCTGTTGTGCTCAAGATACTGGATTCTAAAGGCTTTTTAAAAGGGAAGGAAGACTTGAGATGACTCTTGTTCCTAATGGAGATTTTTACAAGATATTTTCCTGTAACAGGCCATAAGTAGCCTGTGTCCATGACTGGATGCTTCTGGAGTTTAAACAGGGATTTGGGTTTCTGTGGGAGATAAAATATCAGAATGAAGCTTTTAACTTGTCTAAGGTGTGATTATTAACAAGAAACTTTAGTACAACTTAAATGACAAATGGCAACATTATAGCATTTTAATCAGCTCTGTTACCAGCTCTAAGGTATTACCTTGGTTAGTCAAAGCTGATCAGTTGAGGTTTCTTTGCAGTTAAAAAAAAAATAAAATCATGCTTTCAACTATGTAGAAGCAAAGGATAGTGATTCCACTCCTGTGAAATGGGGGTTGCAGTCATTCAAGAGAAACAGAGCAAACTGTTATACAAACAGTAACTGAATGCTTGTGGTCAAGTGACTAATCCAGGCTTGCCACCAGAACTTCACACCTCCAAAACGTTTTATTTTTAGATGCTCACAGAGTGTACACTGGTAGGCTTAGCCCAGTTACATAGAAAACGTGACAGGTTGGTAAAATATAATCCTCACAAAAATAATAAAACCCACACCCAAAAAACCCCAAGTAAACTTTGCAACTACAATAGGGACAGTTCAATTTGTTAAGGAATATTGGAGGAAGGTTGCAGTGCCAGATTAGATCACTATTAAACACATTCAAGTTGCTGCCTCCTGGTACAGGAAAAAATACACAAAACCACATCCATCACCCAAGAGAGAGGGTGAGGAACACTTTGGGTTTGTTTGGGGGTTTTTTTTGGGTTTTTTGTTTAAGTTTTCAGGTAAACAACCCTGAAACCTGCATTAGAACCAACCGTAGCACACATATTCTATCAAATGCAAGCTTAAAACCTGGTCTATTGATGTTCACCTTTAACCCTAACGTAGAAGCCAGTGAAAGGATCTGCCAGTAACATTCTTACTGATGTGGTTTCCATATTAAGTAAACCTTCAAGGCCAAAGTTACATTATTACTAGTGTTAAGTAAGAAAAGGAGTAAATAGCCAAATCTTTCAGCTGCAATTGCATCACCTTCACTTATGCCTGCAAGCATAGGACAGGGATGGCAGGTTTCTTCCCACAGCCTGCACCTCAGGTCTGCAACATAAAAATGGGAGAGAACCAAGACTGCAAGGAAGAATCTAGGGCACCACGGGACTTCATTCCCAACACACTCTGAGCTTAATAAATGAACTTCAGCAGCACTTCAGTGCTGAGATGCTGAAGTGGGGAGTTTACACTTCATGAAAAACCAGAGTTTTGTTCTGAAAAGTAAAACCAACCCTAAAGCAGAGCTGGGAAGTGCATTGTATTCACAGTACTAGGTCTTGATCAATTTTGTACTGTTCTATACAACAATGCTTGTATTTCCTGGAGAAAACATAACCCTACCACATTTCATTGTAGAAAAAAAATTATTAGACTCAAAACATTCCATGATCTTTACAATAAAAATAGTAAAATCAAACTGATTTTGCAGGAAGAAAATAGTTTAGAACCGAGTTCTTTAAAGTGAAACAAGATGAGAAGCAGAGTGCCAAGCTGCTTTTACATGCTATGTCTGACTCTGAAGGATAGAAAACTTAAACCTTAGCCAAGCAGAAGTAGATCTAGCTCAATAAAATGATACAAATTTGTAAAAGCACATGAAAGGATAATTCTGTAGTCCTTAGTGGAAATTCAAAATGTTCAGATCAAGTAACAACATTATTTGGGGGGGAGGGGGCGTGTTTAGTGTTTCTGTTGTGTGGGGTTTTTTTCTTCTAAGGCAATGAGATTTCTAAATAGATTTGCTGCCAGAATAAAGTGCTTTTGAGTAGCAATGTACATATGAGACAGAAGTGTCAAAACAAATGATTACTCAAATTAGCTCAACACTTAAGTCTAGCTGAGGAAAACAAGTCATATGTTAAACTGGAAATGTATTTTGTTTCCGAAGATTGTAAGAAATAACCCCCTTCAAGCTCCTTATGTTGCTTAAACAAAATTTACCAGTGTCAGTATCAATCTGCCTGTCATTTTAGTTAATAGTGAATTCTGACCAAGTGACTGATACAATTGTTACAGGGATGAACACCTTCAGAGAATTACTGTATTAATTGCATAGAGGTTACAATGGATCTGATGTTCTTCTAAATTATTCTTTGTGTCAACTTTTTATAAAAATGAAAGTTACAGTGTGCTTTAAAGCACTTTTGTTTAGGTTGTTGGCTTTAAATCCCTAGTGATTTTGTACGTAGGATGAACAATGCTAATGTAGATCCACAAGACATCAAAATACATCTATGCAACATTCTGCTGCCATAGGATGAGGCTTGTACTGTGCAGAGTTAACATTAAGCTGCTTCAAAGCACAATTCATCCATCTTGCTGTTCAAACCAGCTAAAATTTTGAGCATTAGTCTTTTAAAACAATAAAAAAACCCCATAAAATAACTCACAACAAAACTTCACATGACTTCACTGCATTTCTTACAGCAAGAGAAAGGATAAGGGTACACATGAGTTAGGTGGTCAGGGCATATGCAAAACTAACCTTCCTTTTCCAGTAGGAAGTCTCCTAATAAGACAGACATAAGGCTGATAAACAGCTTGTGCTGCAGCTGTGTCAGATGTATATAATACTAACAGCTGTCATGAGTGAAGAGCAGAGTAACTCATGGCAAGTGTGAGGAAGCTCCTGCCACGAGTTTGTGCACTAGAAGCTGTAGTACACAGAATGTGTATTTTGATGTGGAAGCCTGGGAAAAAGCATTTTCTGGCTGTCCTGGCCAATAGCTGGATAAGCCTTCTGTTCCTGCTCTGCAGCTACACACATTCTGGTGCCAATCTGAGGTGCAAGAGCTGGCACGCAAGCTAGCAGTGACAGGTATACTGTCAGTGGAGGGTAGTGTCAAACTCTTTATACTAAGATTAGTTAAAAAAAAACAAAAACAAACAAAAACCTAGGGAGGCATCCAGATAAAGAACTGGTGCTTAATTACATCTATCTCCTAGCCTGTGCAAGACAGCTTTTTTGGCAGCTTCCATTGTTCCATCTAAAACATGTATTTTTGTAGTTAGTCACATCAGCATCCCCAGCATTTCAGCAGCCTTAGATGATGAGCAGACACTCGTTACTGTACTAACATGCAAACTGGACTGTTCAGCCTGTACCAGAACCCGCAAGTGTGACCTTAACTTGTCCAGAGAGATGGCTCCAGTTCTGTTACTTGTGCTGAGATAAAACTATTCTACTCCAAGCTTGGACATGCAAGGAAGAGAATTTAACCTGCATTCTACAACATGTGACTTAAACATGGTTCAACAGAGGGTTTTTGTTTATTTGTTTCATTTACATCAATATAAATATCTTTCAGTCAAATAGTAATAAAAAGGAAGTAATTCCTGGAATTTCACAGTTCACAGTTCAACAGGTGTATCTAGAAATCCATTTCTGTAGGCTTATCACAGGTGGAATCTGCAAACAGGTACAGATGTAAGCCACAAAGCTGCAAGTCATGAACTTAACAGTGTCACTGTTACGAACGTAGCAGAACAGACAGTGAAGTTTCTACAACATGTTAAGTGACACCCATGTACAGATCTCCAGCATTCTTGTCCCATCAGGGCCGCAAGACTTACTGCTTTTACTGTACATTAATTTCCTAAAATGCTTCTCCTTTATTTACATCACTTTTCTGCCATAAATGCATTGGCATAGGCTCATTCTCTTAAATACAGCTTACCTGAGTAAGTCTCCAAGATTCTTCAAAAGCTGGGACTTGAAAAGAAAAATAACAGAAGGAGGATAAGGAGAACAGTATTAATAGAGGTGCACATTTCACATCCAAGACTTCTTCCTGTTACTTTGTATTCCATCATATTCCAGCCCTGCTTAACAGCTTCTACATACAGTCTGACAGCATGTTTGGTATTGTACATGCTTTATTAAAATGGTACTCGTATTTACAATATCTGCAGAAACAATCCCTCCCCAGTCTTGCATTCAGACAGACACGCACACATACACACGCGTGCACGCCCCTTCATTCTACAGGGGTGTGAAGGCTATGCTCCCAAAAATTAGGCAGCTTCTGGAAGAGGAGGAAGGGTGACTTTTTTCTGTGTTTGTAATTACTTAAAAAGAAGCATGGGAGTATGCGTTTGGCCATCACAATGCTAATTTAAGTATACATAGTATTAACATATGGCAGTAACACTGAGTATTCCTCTTTTACATTCTATACACAGAATGACATCAAGGTTTTCCAGTCAATAGAACATTCTAACTTCAGTCTCAATGCTGCTTGTAGTGACCATGAAAACATAATTTTGGGGCTGTCCCTTAAAATAATTCAAGTCTATGTAGGCGAAATAAGGCACAATTAATATTTGATTTGATTTAGAGGATGGGAAAAGGGGGAGAGGCAGACTTCAAATAATAGTTGTTGCAGAGGAAACGGTTTTACCCAATCCTTTTGAGAAAAGGATGAATTTTACCCCCATCCTAATCTACACGGACTTCTCTTAGAGAACTGAAGTATTCTGCCAGGGCTACTAACGCCCACATACAAAACAAAATTGGAAATTCACGTTTTAACACCAGTTTCAATAGTCTAACCTACTGATACTGATGTACATGAGTAGGTCTTTCTTTAATGCTGAAGGAGAAGACGCATGAAACAAGATTCAAACCTTCTGCTGAGCTTGAAAACTCACATCTTTGAGAGAGCTTGCAATATATACTGTTTGAAGGCTTCAGCTTACTGATAAAAAGGAGTAGCATTTTTGCCATTAAAGCCCTGGCCCCTCTCACTAATAAAGCCTAACCAGACATTACAAATAAACTGCAACAAAAAGTTTGGCAGCACACAATGTCTAGTATTCAAATCTTGATTTGTGAGTATATTATTTTCCTTGTACAAAACCTGATGAATGTTTTTCGCAGCAGATGAACTGTACCCAAAGATGCAGGACATTCTGTGATGGGGAATAAGAGGTTGCAGTTCCGAAGGCCCCTGACTTTGGTTGTTTACAAAGTTCATTCCTGTTTAGTGTGATCCTTGGTATCTTCCTCATCTGTGTATTCTGATGGTTCTTCCCCTGGTTTTAGGAGTCTACCTACGTAGTCATATTTTTCTGAAAAAGATTTATGATTCCAATTACAATCAAATACAGCTGCATTTGCTAGTTAGCCTGCACTGCTGCAAATTCACTTTTTCTCCTACAAGCTAGGGCTCTGAACCTGAATCTGATGGCAATTTATCAGCAAGCTCAGCCTCCTAAAACAATCTTGCTACCACTGCTGTTCACCACTTTCTCTGAGTATTTTGTTTCAGTTCTGCCACAGCTAATCGGGCAAGCTTTATGACACAATGGCTGAAAATGCTGCTATTAAAACCAGCACAAATTCCCTCAGCCTGTTTTGATTCCAATTAGCATTAAAAACTACTCCCCCTCCCTCCAGAGGCATACTTCCATACTTTTGAGAAATTATTTCAGGACAAACTTGTCTGCATGCCAGAAACAACTTAGTCCTAATCATAATTCCATGGCATCCAAAGCCAACAACCTGCGAGCAGGAATTCCATCTGCTAAGCTACACTGAGATTTGAGAGTGAAATTCTCCACTAATCAACTCAGAAAAGAGTAGCTCTCTCAAGTAAAACTAAAATGTTGAGAAAGCTATAGTGGGATATAGTGGAATCCTCTCTACAGAATGAAGGCCTGAATCCCTGGTCTTTTTTTAAGAAAATGACATTGCATTATTCAAGTTACTTTCACCATCTCTTTAAAAGCTGCCCTGAGCCCAAATCAATGATTTTTATTAAAAGCATTTCCTTAAGCTAAAGATGTGCTGCTTATTTGAGAATTTACCTTTAAATTGCATTTCCCACTCTCTTACACTTTCCATCTGTACAGCATTTAAGTCCGATAGGTCATCATATTCATCTCTGAGTGCATCTTTATCTAGACAGAAAGTTGCTAGTCCCCTGGAGGCATCTCTGCCAGCAAATATTCCATATGGACCCTCTGAAAACAAAAAGAAAAAATCGACACCTTCAAGTCTCAGTTTATGGTGACCAGCCTCAGTTCTTTATATATTCTGTTGAAGCCATACATTGAATTTCTGCAGTGATGGGAACAGCAGTAGTTCCAATGCCACGGCTGTTCAACATTCAACAGCACTGCAATTCCATCTTAAATATCACTAGGAGATAAAGTCTGCTGAGAGAAGCAGAACCAGGAAAATAGCTTTGAAGGGATATCTGCAAAAATCCCTGTCATTTGATACAAGTCAGTTGATGTATACTCCAAAGAGACTGAAGGCTGGAATTCAAAAGAAACACACTTCTATCAAGCAAAACATAAGAATATTTACAAGTCAGGCATGAATAAAAGAAAATTGTATAGACATCCATTTAATTTTATCAATAAACAGAAAGAGTGCTAATAATTTCACTTCAGTTACAGAACCACCACAACTTTCTACATACTTGCCAGACAGTGTGTCTTTTGGCACATTTCTTACTTCTGTGGAAATAACGTCATTTATTTTGGGCAGCAGATCACCCATACACCTGTCTTGTATTGTTCTTGAGAACTGCACACATCTTCATGTTAAGAATGCAAAGCAACTGCTTCCTTTGTGCTTTTTGACTGATGCAAAGCAGAAAAAATATACTAATAACATTTTGAGCAATGGCTGTCAAACAATTAGTATTACAAAAAGAACAGCATGATTTGCAAATGATCAACTTTGAGGATGTGTTAATTGGCTATCTCAAATTTTGATGAATCCAGAGAACTTCAAGCATATTGTTATATTAGATTTTCTTTACCTAAAAACAAATACCTTAATTCAGCTCAATTAAAAACAAAACAAAAAAACCCCCACTTTAACAGTTTCTGCACTAACTGCAGCAGCTAAGCAACAGGGTAGTGCCCAAGGCATTCTAAAGGGTGGTCACTACTTGATAAATAGGCCAGCACCCTTCTCTGGCTTACCTCTCTGAAGATGACAGTGGCCGTCAGCCTGAAGAAAAGGCAGCACGCATGGGCAAGAATGAACACAAGCAAGTGGGAACACACTGTCCTTCACCCCCTCTATTGCCTGCTGGAGCACCTCAGACCTCTTCTGCACCAGGACGAGCCACAGGAAATCATTCAGAGAGGCTGGTTTCCTCCCAGGCCGCTTGCTCCAGCCACCACACCTATCTGCTCTTGCCGGGCATTGACTTCAGGGATGAGACAGAGGCTGAATGCAGTGGGAAGAACTCCTGAGGCTGGGAGCCTGAGTACCGTAAGGATTAGAAGAAACTATGTCCTCACCAGAACTGGTGTCGTCTCTCCACCCCAGAGTGCTTGGCATTGTAAGCTGCTTACAGTCAAACCTGAGAACAGAAGGATATCTTCTGTGCTGAAGACAATTCCCCTGTCTCTCTGGAAATAAACCAACTGATTTAAAAACATTTCACAAGAGGTACACATCAGAGAAAGAAGCATCAACTGGAAGCTTGCACTGTACAGACCTGTCCTTAAGAGACAACCATAATGATTAACTGCATCTCTATGCTTGGTCTTTTCTGATATTAAGCTCCAGGAATGGCATTCACAGTAACTACCTCTGGCATCAGGGACAGCATTTATGCTACTTAACAGAAACAAAGTAATTTGTGAGCTATGTTTTTCCTATTTGTATCCTGAATTAGTTGTTATTTGGAAAACAGGATTCAGAGACTTAAATCAATCCTACACCAAGACATTTAAGCAATCATTTTGCAGGCTCAGTCACTTCCCATGAAACAATGTAGGAGGCAGCGGTGGCCATCATTTGCAACACAGCAGAGAGCTTCTTCAAACAACAACTCTTGCATCACTCCAAAACAGCTATTATTCAAGTGATCTACTTTTGATGCTCTGAATATTGGAGCTATAAACAGTTCTTACTAAGACCACACACAATCATTAAATCCTTAAGAGTAATTATAAAACATTAGTGAATACCCTCATCAATAGTATTTTGTCCCCATTTTTTCCTTTCTCTGAAGCATTAAAAAAAATTTTCCATAAGCCCCACTAGCTACTTGCATAATGCATTTTCAAAATTCTGGCTAACCCGAGTTAGAAAAACAAAACCGTTTCCCTTCTACCCTGCATTTAGCAGTTTAATGAGTTTTGCAGCATCTGCTGAGATGCCACCTCTTGGTCAGCCAGCTCAATTCCAATTATTTATTATTAAAAGGAGAATTTAATTATATTTATGAGTACCAAGCCTTGAACACCCTTGCATCTCACTAATATACTTACTTGAAAGCACAAATGCTTTCAGAATGTATCGGTTTGTATTAAGATTAATGGATGCAAAATTTCTGCAAATATATTGTAATGTCAGATGCTACTATACCAAATTTTTTTTTCCTATTAATTTAAATGTTTACATTCCAGCATGTTTACTACAGAAGTATTCAGGAGTCACAGAGAAAACATCAAGCCAAGTCTAAGCACTCAACAGAATGCTAACTAGTAAAAACCAGCCTTTGGACTTGGTAGACACCAACTCAAATTCCAGCTCTGCAAATGCAACTTAGAAATGTGTCCCTTCTTTAATCCTTTACTAGAAGGCAAACATCAAGTTATGATTATTTAGAAAAAAGTGCAAGCCTGACTTTACTTTAGTTGGGGGCTACTAAAGCAGAGGTTTAGAGATCTCAGAATGAGCAATCTACTTTAAGATTTAAAGCTTCCATTCAGATATTTTCACACAGAGATGAAATGCAGTATTTTCTATTAATACAGAATACACAGATCTGGGGTTTTTCTATGAGTCTGTTATTCATTATATAAATACTGGTGCAACAGTCTTAAAAATGAATTTTACATCTTAGATTTCGTTGTGCTTGGAGAAGCACCCCAAACGGTGCCAGCATAGAGAACCCTGGGGAAAAAACATGCTTCGAAGAACATGAGTCTGAGCTAAAGACATTCGTGCAATCCCAGATATACCCTTGCAGAGCTCTTTCATCACCAGATGCAATTTACTCTGCAAGCCCTACCCACAGTCTTTCTTCTGACCTTTTGTCTGCCTACCTATTCAGACTGGCTTCTGTTCTAAATAATTGATTGCGCCGTGACATGATACACATCCTGAAGAGATTGGAAGAGGTGCTATTAGCAAAGGTATGTCCACCAGACTGATTTTTTTAAACCCTCTCACAAAATTTCAGTGGTTTGCTTTTGCTGTATCCCCACCAAACCAGCTATTCAATAGTCAAATATTTCCTTAAAAGATTGTTGTTCCATTCCTATTTGGCATCTCGCAACAAAAAAAGGGAAGTCAGGAAGTGTCAAAACCCATTAAAACACATCTGTTATGTGTTGCTTGGCTACATGGAGCCTTACATGAAGGAAAACTTTGTTCCTTGAAGCACACTCTTCTTCCCAATCATTACTTTCACATATTAAAACACTTTGTTTCAGAGCTTTTATTTATTTTAGTGCCGAGACCAAACAGTTACCAGGACTACGTATCTGCCTACCACCCCCCACATCTATAGCAGCACACTTACACTGTGCCTCTTTCTCCTGTATAAAGTCCTCATTTACCTTGCAATTCAACCTTGTATAAAGTGTGCCCTTCTCTAAGCTACCATGCATGGAAAATCCTCACCTGCAAATCCTCACTTTCTTTCAGAGTCCAGTTAAAAATCTGGCTGCCTTGATGAATTTGATGTCTTATTCCAGGCTGACATTCATCTTTATTCACAGATGAACTGGGTAGCTTGAGAACTGGAAAAATCAAGGTCTCTTCAGCCAGAAAAAATACCTTTCCAATGCCTGCACTCAGGATTTCTGCATCTCCTAGCCCTCTTCTGGTTCTCAAATGAAGATACAACTTTTCTTTGCAGACACCCTAAAACAACAGCAGGCAAGGAAAAATAAATTTAACATTAAAGCACTGCATTTCTAAATTTTAGATATGAAGCTTTCCAAGCTGAAGTCTTTACCTGGAAGCCCTACTTCTAGTCACTTGCTTCAAAACAGGCTAAACTAGATCTTGGAACAGCATGTGTTTCAATTTCCAACAGGTTTGGCTAACAGTTCCCCCTATGCTAGTGTTTAACTTTTGAAAAGATATTCTTGGTTTACCAAAGAGGCTATTAGAACATCCTAGACTATTTCTCCAAGACCAGTAATGAAGGTGAACACTGTCCACTGAACTTTGGATTGCTCCCACTGTCAGCAGAGGGACCACACCACAGATAGCTGCATATGGACTTTGTATCTACTGAAGTGATTTGTAATCCAGGAATTGCATTCATTCTCAAAAGGCTCATACAAGTTCTCTGAAGAAGCCACACAGTTTAACAAGTTTCAGTTTTAAACCAGCTTTGGTTTCTTCAAGTAGTCAAAATGCACTTCCAAGCAATCACCACAAAGGCAAAGCATTACGAGATGTTCTTTGTGCAGCCACTGGAAATAAAACCCAGGTTTGTCTGAAGCTTAGAAACCCACAGACAACATTTCTTAAGCTGCAGACAAGAATAGAGACTGATCTCTCTTTTAATGTAAGTTAAAGGAACAAAGAAGACAGACCACAAAATTATTGACAGCTGCACTACTCTACCACTTTGCTTTTCCACTCCAAATCAAAGTGAAATCTCCACTACCTAAAATTTTCCATCTGGATCCTGACAGGTGTTTGTTCACTGATTCATCTATTATGAGGGAATGAAAAAGCTACAAATTAGACAAAGCCATTTTGAGATGCAGCTTGAAAGCAGGAGCTTTCTAATAACATGTATCACTGGGAATTCAAGGTGACACAATTTTAACTTTACTGCTCCACATTTAAGTGAAAGATGTGGGTCAATTTCAAGTTACAACTTACATGGTAAGTATTCTTAGGAGAGCAATCCACAAAAATTACATGCTAAGATGGGAACTGCTTAGAAAGAGGGGTCTAAAACTGACTACTTAGGCACAGGACCAGAGGGCCTCACTCTCTCTTTCACTTGCTTCCTTTTTAACTCTGTGAAAAAGAGTGCAAGAATCAATGACCCAATTTCAACTAAAGGGGCAGACAACAAGCACAAGGAACCTGTAGCTCAGTCGTCAGGAGATTCCTGGAAGACAGTTCCATACTTGAGGAGAACCTAGTTCCCATATCTTGGTTTAGTGATAAATGCTCTGGACACTAGTTTATTTCTTAAGGCAAGCAAGGCTGGCCAGTTTTTTTTAATAAATGAAAGGCAGCTATGCTGTTACGTACTGGATTTAACATCTATATGTCATTAATAATGATGCCTCTATCATGTCCTAATAAATCTTGCTTTGAGCATACCTGCTTGATCAGGCCGCTAAAACCTCAGGTGACTGGAACCTGAGTGATTTAAATAGGAACAAGGAATTTACCCAGACTGACCTTTTATAAAACACATTGTTATTCAGGTTGAAAGCAAATGTTGAGGTTATTACGGAACGACCAAGAAGAAGAAAAGAGATGGAATGAGAGAGCTGACAGACACAGAAAGCAGAAGCAGAGGAAGAGAGTGATGCACCCTCCAGCACAAACCCATTTTACCGGTCCCTGCTCTATGTGAACATGGACTGAGGACTTAGAACAACCCCTTCACCCTGGTGGAAAAGGCACTACAATTCTTTAATGAGACAGATGGAAACAACCTCTCACCAATAGGCACGTTCTGGTAGAAATTCAGCCTTTTTATCCAGAAACGCCATTTCTTGGAAAAGCAGAGTCCCGGGGTGAGAGATGCCTCCATTACACAGACACCAAAGAGGTAACAAACATCAAGAACACAAAGAAGATACACACCTTCCTGGAAGGACTTTTCCCCCAGTCTTATCCTCTGTACTTATTTGTAATTTCTGGGCCTGTTGCCTTCTTAGGCTAAAGCCACCCTGAACAGAATTCTCCAGACACAACAGATATGATGCTTGTCATGCAACATTTCACTCTACCCATGCCCTTGTAAAGGATGTATTGAAAAGTATTGGTGCTGTGTTTTAAGTAGACACAATTAAGTTTACAGAACTCAGTTCCAAAGAAGTCCAATGGCATCTGATTATTCTTACACAAATTATGAGAAAAAATGGCTATTTACTACAGATTTATTTTTTTTAAGTATTTAACATAAGAAAGCGCAGTTCCTTGCAACGTGAAATGAAGGTAATATTCCCCTCACAAAAAAATGAATTATGATGGACACTGTAGCAGAAGGAACTACAACTACCTAATCTACTCCTCTTAGCAAACGGGAAAGCAGAAATCTTCATGACACTTTGAAAGAGTGGGATGAGACATGAGTTGACAGTGACAAAGCATTGCGGTGAAGGAAAGTCAGGCAATTGATTTTTTTAATCATGAAACATTAAAAACCAAGAAGTGACGTGAAACAGTTATATACTCTGGATAGCATCTTGCTTTGTCATGCTCAAAGCTGTATATTTTTCATAACTGCTAACATTACTTTAACTCTCACTGTGCCCTTCTATTGACCAACATACCACCATGAATCTTGATACAAACAAACATGAAAGTAAATGTTGAGATAAATGAAACAGTAAAATCTGTCTCTCATTATAAGGATATAAAACCAACATAGCACACACTAAAGGCATTACTCATTAGACTCTTAAGTCAGGAGACATGATTACAAATGGGAAAATCACCCCAAAACAGCTTCTTTGAAATTCTGGTTACATGATATTCTTAATAGTAATCTGCAAATTGTTTATTTCTTTTAGAGTTTGCAAGTGATAAAGGTAATTAATTAAAAGTAATAACCAAGCAAAGCATTCTAGGACAGTTACTCATTTGGGCTCAATCAGAGGTGGTATTTAATACAACCAGAAGCAAAGTATTGAAACAAAGGGCACACTTACAAGTCAGAGAACTATCCCAGGAAGTAGCATTTTGGAAAAGAACTTGGCAAACACAGTTTTAAATTAAGAGTTCAATGTAAGCAAAGTGATTTTTGGAGGCACAGTTAAATGTGTGATACAAGTTTTCCTGCTCTCTTAACTAAAATGCATTAGACATACCAAGACTAATAGGATACCAATGAGATAAATTGTGGATGGCTTAATGAAGACAAGACAAGAAGAACCAACAAATTTGGAAAACATTTTGATTCAGTATTCAAGAAATTGAAGTTTTCAATCATGGCTGTTTGAAAGGATGACTCTAATAGTCCATCAATTAAAAAAAACCTTACATGTATGTATGTAAAGAGCTCTTAATTGGAACAGACCAAGTATAACAGGATTCAGTGGATGGAAACTTTAAAAACAGGAGAGCTTATAATAAAATCAGAAGCTTGGAGAGAGTCTGAATGGAAACTGCCAAATAAAAATCTGGACTAGAGGACAACTCTGTGCATTTTTAGACTTCCGCAATAAGTAAAAAAATAAGGAACACCTTTGCATCCAAACTACAGAACAGACCTTAATTTCAAGACATTTCAATCCTTCTGAGACAGCCCTGTGCCTCAACGTTAACCCAGCAGTGAAGACATTCCTACGACCAGATAATGAGCCCTCAGACACTGTCTGCTGCCTTCAAAGCTGAAGTGCTATTTCTCATCAGTGTCCCAACAAAGTACAACCGCTCACAGTCTCAGCCTGAAATGTCAGCAAAGCCAGGGCCCTCAGCTGTTTCTTCCTTCAAACAAAATTTGGCCATGGCTTTGTGGCCATACTTTGCTCTTCTCTTGCTATGCTCCAGCTGTGATGTATAAAATTATCAGGATAATTGCTGTAGTCATCTGGCTACTCAAGTCTTTCTGAGAAGGTCTCAACCAGCTGCAGGAGACTTTTCCACCTAAATCTTCCCAGATGTTTCAGGTCTGCCAACCACAAAACAGCTGCAAGACAATATTCCTCAACATGCATCTGTACAGGGAAACTGCATCAGCAAGATTCAAAACTCAATGTTTGACACCAAACACACAGCTGCTGATGCACAGGTTGAGCATCACTACCCCAGCGTGCACAGTCTCAAGTAACAGAGATCTGATAGACAAGCATGATGTCAGTTCTGTTATAAAAGGCAATCTTTCACTATAGGGGAAAAGAGGAAAAAAAAAAGCCTTTGTCCTCCACGAAAAGCTGGAAACACTCCTTTAGGGAAACCAGCTGCTGCCAGTTATCAAGAAAGCAGACTCATGTCCTAGAAGATAAAGCTTTAGCTTCCTCACAATAACAGCCCTCCAGAGGTTGAATATAAGCACCAGTGATATCTACAGTGGAGAGTCTAAAATTTAAATTGTTTGATAGAAAAAAAAGAGTTAAAGTGAATGTTTAGATTATGGTACAGTATTACTTCACAGAGTAATTTATGAAGCAATCCATCAGCTTACTGGTGTTTTAAGTCTCCTGAAGCATATGTATTACCTGCATTTTATATCAGCACAGAGGTCTCAGTTTAAAGACTCCTAAAGCGAGAGACAAAAGAACTAGCCCAATTAAGTGTCATGAAACCTGCAGCACACCAGACAGGTTTTTCTCAGCTTTACTGGTCAACAAACAAAATAAGGCATGGCAAAGTGTCTAGATTGCATTGTTAACTTTTACAGTACCCTGTCAGAAAAGCATTTTGATTCAGTTATGGCAGTTTCACTTTCTGCAACTGGTAGCACAAACTTTGAGGGTAACAAGGGTTACAAAATAGCAGCCCACTTCAACTGTGCAACTGCTTGTCACTTCTCTGGTAAGAAGCAAAGACTTGTTACAAGTCAGTTCTCTATTGTTATTTTTGTAACCTAGGATTATTACAAAATAATATTAATAATTACTTAACCTGAACTATTTCCTGGGCTGGAAAAAGAAAGGTAACCTCTCTCTCCTCTGCCCTTCATACAAAGACACTTGCCATGCCTACTATAAAAACTC